TCCTCCACCAAGGCAAGGCTTCCTTCCTCATCTTGCTCTCTGGTCTCAAGAGCATGAGACTCCTGAAGGCTGGACTTACTGTTAAACAAAGAAAATATTACTTACTGAGACAAAGAAAATATTGAGTACCTTGGCCCTTTCCATGCTATTTATTCCCATACAGCTGCAGACTCATGTTTTCTTTAGTCTTCTTTTTCATATTCATGTACTTGTAGAATCCTTTCTTGTTGCCCTTCTGGTCCCTTGCAAGACCCAACTCCATATCAGCCTTGGCTTTTCTAACCCCCATTCTTGCAAGATCAAACAGCATCTCTATACTTCTCTTCTGCCTATCCTTGCTTCCAATTCATATATAATTCCATTTCATGTCCAGGCTCAATAAAGAGCTCCTTTCTCATCCACATAGGCCTCCTGTTGCCCTTGCTTGCTTTCCCCCTTGCTGGGGTGGAACTTTCTTAAGTTTGGATGAGCTAATCCTTGAATACCAACAAGTTTTTCTTAATCCCTTTTCTCTTCAGGGTTGTATCAGAGAATACTTCCAAGGAGATACCTGAAGAGGTTCAAGTCTGCTCTGCTAAAGTACAGGGTCATGATCCTGCTTTGTGACATGCTCCATTCACTTAGTGAATCCATCTTCAACCTCATCATATCAGCTAAATAAGCCAATAACAATTACACTGCAGTTCTTCCATGCTCAGGGACAGGATACATATCCATATATTTACATTATTGGTGAATGGCACTGACTAAGAAAAGGCTTATGACTATTCTTTTTTTCTGAATTAAGTTTTCCCAAAATCCACAATTAAAAGTTTATAGTCTCTTTACTGTGAAAAACAAAGTCCTTGAATTAACTTGAATGTACTCTCACAGGAAGTGAAGTGTTTGGGACAAGAAATCTTAGATAAAACTATATTACCCTCATGCTTTTTGATACAGAAGCACCAAATTCCATTACTGCTACCTGTTTGCAGATATTTAAAGTCATAGCTTTTGGTTCTTAAGAAATGATGGCCAAGATATGTTGTTATCCTATTGCAAAGGCTTCGTACCTTCTCGGTGGTTTCTCATGGGCAGCTCCTCACAGCACTGACTTTTTCTTCTTCTCAGCACAGCCAACCAACTCCATCTCACATCTCCACCAGCCAACCTGCTCTTTTATAATACCCCTCTTAATTGAATACAGCTGTGGCCTATTAAGGGCAGGCTTGTTCTTAATGCTTGATAATTAGCACAGCTGTAACTCCTTAGGGGCCAGATTACTTTCACCACTGTCTATTCTCCTACCTTTTATCTAATCACAATTCCCCCTTTTCTTTTAATTACAAGTTTTCCATTCTTTTAAAGTCTTATAGAATGATTTCCAAGTGGCAGCCAAATCTGCAGCTGCCTTGCCCCCTTTTTGACACTATATTTCACAGTTTTTGGGGGGTTTCTTGTGTTTTTTTCTTTTTTTCTCTCTCTTTTTTCTTTTTTGGTTTTTTTTTTTTTTCTTCCACCTATATCAAACAATCTGTTTAGCACTCGATATGTTATTTCTCATTGTGTCCCCAGTGGCTCACCTGTACCTCAGGTGTCAAAATCTGTCCAGACCATACCAAGCAGCTTAACCTGCTGCTCTCATTGCTATGCTGGGCTCCATCTCCGGCTGCACCTTGCCCTGCACCCCACTCCCAATCATGATGGGTTACTGTGAAGATGGCCACTATACAATTTTAGAGAACTTCTCTTACATGTTGTCTGTGCAGCCTTGACTCTGCCTCTCAGAGCTCCATGTTGCTGTTGTTCCAATGCTCTTGTCGCAGTGACTTAGCAAACCTTCCCCCGTACTCCTCAGGGGCCATGCCATTTGCCACTTCTGTCACACACTACTTGTGTCCTGCTGCACACACTGCCATTCAGGGGGAACCCAGCACCATCCTGGGTCCTTGGATCACATCGGGGTCACCAACTGTTGTTATCCTATTGCAAAGGTTTCGTACCTTCTCGGTGGTTTCTCATGGGCAGCTCCTCACAGCACTGACTTTTTCTCAGCACAGCCAACCAACTCCTTCTGACATCTCCACCAGCCAACCTGCTCTTTTATAATACCCCTCTTAATTGAATACAGCTGTGGCCAATTAAGAGCAGGCTTGTTCTTAATGCTTGGTAATTAGCACAGCTGTAACTCTCCTTAGGGGCTAGATTACTTTCACCACTGTCTATTCTCCTACCTTTTACCTAACCACAATTCCCCCTTTTCTTTTAATTACAAGTAAGATATTCAACAGAAAAAAACAGCCTTAATGAATAATACTCCTCTGGTCTGTTTCTTGTGTGTCCACTTCTTGTTCTAAAGAGCTTACTTACATAAGGTAAACAAAAAATATAAAACACAAAAGCAGCAGAATTAAGGTCTTCCTTTCAACCTACCTCAGGTTCCAAAATAAGCTAATGCAAGCCTGGAGCTGAAAGAAATGTCACATTCATTAACTAAATAATCATCTAAAAATAGAAACACTATTTCATTACTCCCATTCACATTTTACAGCTCTGCTCTTCAAAAAATGCTGTTGCTTAAGCCAAGCAATAATCTGCCTCATAACAAGAACACAGAAATAGTTAGCATTTCAGTTATCTTCAGAACACACCTGACTTACAGGAACTAATTCCATTTTTACACACACACAGAACTCTTTGAGGTATAAAGTGACCTTTCTAATACTTTCATACTCAATACAACAGAATTGGCTGAAATAAGGATTCTTTAATCAGGGATCATCCTACAGCTGAAATAAAGCAACAATCACTTGCCACAGGAACCACTGCCTATATGATGTTTCTACTGATATAAACCTTCTTCCAGAAAAAGCTCCTACAAATGAATAGTGGTAAGAGACACTTTATGGTTCTGAAGTCCTAAGCAAAGACAGACCAACTTGATTTGTAATGTCAGAAGAGAAGAGTCATTTGCCTTTTCCTTTAGGGAAGGCTAGCCACCAGATCCTATTATAGGTATCTATGCAATAAGGCACACAAAATGGTCTTGGACTGTAAAACTAAAATGCCTTTCAGTTCAGCAATATATTTCTTGAGTACAATGTCAAGTGTCTAAAGTTTACAGAACTATTAAAATATCCTGAACATACACAGAACCAGGTACACTGGTGTCCCTTCCATTTTCTCATCTTCCAAAGTGGGATTTGGGCTTGTTTTGCTGCTGAAGCAAAGGGGAAGGGTTAAGTACCAAAAGAACTACTCATGACATTTTTTAAATGGCCTCTGTCCAGGCTGATAATCTTTATTTAATCAGTAAACATTACCCTCCTTGTCACCTATCTAAGCCTTTAAATACAAGATAAGCTATTGGTGCATTATTTAGGAGTCTGTTTCTTTTTAATGAAAACGCACTTGATTTTGGCCATATGAAAAAAAGTTGGTAATTATTTTTAAACTATTTCATCTTTACCTTTTTCACAATTCTAATATTTGCCCTGAAATTTCATTGAGGCAAATGCTGATGTGTTGCATTAGCTCAGGTTACAGAGTTTTACAATAAGGTTTGAAGAAGAATGAAATCTAACTCATGGAAGAATTACCAGAAGAACCACTGAAAGCAGTCAAGTAACTTACACAATAGATGCCAAAATTCACAAGCTGTGCTGACCTTTGTATAAAGCTTTACTAATTAAAAAAAAAAAAAAAGGTGATGTATCATGGAGTTAAAACATTATTTGACACTCTCTCCTTCCTTACATTGTTTTGTCCAGGTAGACAGAACCACCTCTGTATCAAAGTGCTACCATGCCCACAGGAAAGTCTCCTTCAGACTAATCCACACATCTCCACAGAATTTAAAATAAAGCACAAGAATCCAAGAAACAAAAACCCTTCAATAATGTCAAAAATTACTTTGTAGTACCAAGAATATAACCTAGTACAGAATGTTAAAAGAGGATTTCCTATTTCCTCCAATGGCAGAAATATTAGCAAAAGAAGGTCACTGGGTAAATCCTGTGTAAAGTGATTGACAGCAATGCAGCCACCTCTCAAATCCATGAGTGACCTTGACCTTATAGTGATAAGCACTTTAAAAGGACAGCAGTTTTATCTGTTAAGTCTCTTCATACAGAATCACCATGGACACTACACAAAACACAACCCAGTGCTACGTCCAGTTCATGGACACCATGAGTTCTAATGCCTCACGTTGCATTGCACATCTTAATGCTGTATTTCAGTGCAACACTACCAGATTATAAAAAGCTTTAGCCACAATCCTAAAATACATTCAACAGCTGACTGCATAGTGACAGCAGCAAGACAAGGTAAATATTTAATCAAGCAAGTGCACTCCTTTTGCAATGTAAGAAATACTCGCATTACAAAATTCTACTCAGTATCCGGTATTTTGTCACATTTTCAGACTTAAAAAACATTTAAAAATCAAATTTTACCATTATTTACAAACACTTAATTTTTACCAAATTTGAAGAAATAATAGGTATATAATAAAAGACACATGTAATAAAAATATAATTAAAGCTGTTTTTCATTTTGTTATGAAATTTCCCTGTACTTAGCAAAACAAATTAAAAATGAGGAGAACAAACTGTTCTTGGATACTAAACAACAAGTCACCATTAGTCTAAAATAAAATACATTATTAGTAAGTGGACTTCAGATGGTAGTGTTTCAGAACCTTTCTTTCAAGTCATTTTAAAACCTAAATGAAGACTTAATTTACAAAGAAATTAAGTTCGTGTTTATTTCCCTCTCAACACATAAAAGAAGATGAAACAAAATTATATCAGAAAGAGGCATTGCTATTACCTGAAAAGAACTAAAAGAAAATTATGATTTTAAAAGGCTCTTTAAAAGGCTCAGATCTGAATAAACTTCCATGCTTGCATACTTTAAAGAAAACATTTGGATAATCTCCATGTTATTTAATTCTAGGAAAATAAAATACCTGTTGAATAATAATATCAGTAAAATTACTTTCATTTATGTACACTTACTGCAATCTCTCTACAGGCCGACATGGATATCCCTGTACCTTCAATTTGCTTCAGTGCATACTCCTTTTCATCTTTTCTGTACACACAAAAAAAAAGAGAAAGAAAAATATATTTAGCTCTGACTTACATTACACCAATCAATATCAGTATAATGATGAAACACTTTAATTTGGTCTGGATCAAGAAGCTGAAAAGCCAATCTGCTTTTATGCATAAATTACACTGTGATATGAAAAGCAAGTTTTCTTTTAACAAAGACCTTACAGTTCCCAAACAAAAACTTCTTTATAAAAACTTGGTTAACTTATCCATTTCTCTCTGAAAACAGACAAAATATATGCAGATAACTGCAAACACAGAATTTTAGAGGACACTTTCTCTGAAATTCCAAGATACTGTCTACTACGGTGAAAGCACCGCAGTCGTATCCCATGCCTGGAAAATTCTCCTAGAAATATCTGGGAATGGCAAGCTTTCTTCTTGATTTTATGAGCTACTCTCAATCACTTTTATTTCTGAAACACTACTATTTTAAACTAATTATATAATAAGCACTGGCGACTGACACATCCCTACAAAGCACATGAAATGCTGTGCTCTGATGTACAAAGCCAGAATATGAAAAAAGTTCAGTCCAAACACTGTACTATCCTTTTAAATAATCACAGCTTGAAGTGATTTATAGGGACCACCAAAAGAACAAGAAAAGAAGGTAGAACCTTGAAGCTTTCATGCTATAACAGAAGCACCCTACAACACAGTTTTGCAGGATCCAGCTGTCAGGGACAGATATTGGTAGGCACCAATGCCCACAGTGTTGATGCCCCTTTGCAGACTCACCAGTCACAATTCAACAACCCACAAGCCCCTATCGAAATTCCTTGTGGCATTTCTGGTAGACCTCAGCCCTTCTTCCACTCCCAAACCATTTTGTTTTGCCACACAGAAAGATTCTGAACTTGCACTTGATTCAGTCTCTCTGGCTTTGAACTCCAAGCCTGTGCCCTGCCAGCTTCAGCCTGTTTCCCACCTTCAACCAGACCCTCCTCCTCCAAAACTCATGGGGTAAGAAGTGACTGAGTGGAAAAATGTGGGGACAATACAAGATAACTTGAAATAATAGCTGTCTACACATATTATAAGTAACACAGCAAGCATTATTCTCAGTAATTTTCAGTAGCAGCTAAATCCTCAATGCATGTCTATAATTAACACTGAGCTATGCTTTTTGAAATAAAATTTTAACAAAAAAAATTCCAGATGCTTTCCAGTTACACATGAAAATGTGTAACATCACAGGTAATAAGATCACACCTTATAACTCAGGAATTGTTTCTGATTTTATTAATTAGTCCAAATTTTAAACAGTAAATAATAAATTACCATCCCCTCTTACACATGTTCATGCTATGTATGCAGAGGATTTCCATACACTGCAAAGTATCAACTCCATTAACTCAGGTTGCTTACAGAGACTGTGAAGACAAAATTATATTGTCTGTAGAACCAAAACCAACTCTGGACACAAAATTAATCATGGCATTTATACTATGGTCATGTTTAAACTATGCAGCACAAACAATCCTGTGCACAACTATCAGCTGGAATCCCAAAGCAATGTAGTCACTACAGCACTGCATTACATCCTTCTTTTGGCACATGTACTGAACCAGGCACAGGACCACACTGACACGGCTGCCCTTGAACTAGTTCTACATGCAAAGCATTGCATCTGGTTACTCAGACCTCCACAGAGTGAAGGTCACTGCAGAGACCAGGCATGACACTTGGCACACACTGCCTTCAGCAGCACTGCTCAGTGCCACCGCCACGGTGAGGCTGTCAGCCTTGACAGACAGCCACTCCATGTAGGACCTCAAGGTACAAATGAGAAATTATGAAAGGTATTTAAAAAAAAAAAAACCCAAGCAATTCAACAACCTAAGGTATTACAGCATGTGGGAAAAGGAGGCAGTCTTACTAAGTTGCAACCCAGATAGTTCTAAAACATTAGCTTTTGTAAAAAATGAACAAAAACAGGGATAATGAAATGCTTATTTATAATAAATTGGTGGCAAGGATAAGGACCTCCAAAGAAATTGCATTCTTGACCTGACTTTTTTTTTCTTTTTTTTTTTTTTTTTTTTTAACCAGCAGCAGGTTTGGAATTATAAACACAGCCTCCTTTAGATACCATTTACTTGCTTTGGCAGAAATGCAAGTCTATACAAATACTTTTCCAAAGTTAGCTGTCCTTATTATAGAAATATAATAGCTAATTAAAGCACTTTCCAAAAGATGTCCACCAAGTGGTATTCTAGCTAATAATATTTTCCATTCAAGATAATTTGAAAAAGAAAGAAGTATATTCAAAACTTCAAAAGCAAGTCAGCCAGTGTAATCTGATGAAACAAACAATTCTGGTTATTCAGTGGTGTGTCCAAAGAAAAGAATACATAGGTACTTTATTAGCTATTTCCCCACTTGTAAGAATTCAATAAACAATATCAAATAGTGTGTGTGATAGGTGAGTACACTGTTCAACTCTCTAAAGAGCAATGCTCTCATTAAATACTTGAGACAGGGAAAAGTACTTATATTTCATTTCAGAAAAACTCTACTGAGCTCTGAACACATTTCAAGAAACTGTAGGGAATTACACAGCAGGGAAGTTTTTATAAATCCATTTCTGACAGATCCTATATCAGCACATTTTTTACTGGAGCAAAGCAAGCACGATCATGTTAACACCAAATCCAAACAACAACCACAAACCACGCAGCTCTGGTATGAGGCAAAAGACACCCATGTCAGGGATAGCCAGGCAGAAAGCAGGGTCTCTGCCCACAACCATTTTTATCTGGTCTGCAGAAACACTGTCTCAGGAACAGGTCAACTAACTCCAAGGTCTTAACCTCCAACTGTAAGGGAGTTTGTCTGAGGGCAGGAAGCAAGTGGCACAGATCAAGGTTTAATCAAGCAGGTTGTATCAAACAGCCACCCCAGGCTGATGGTGGCAATGTGGTCACTAATCTGAGCAAAAAACCTAGTAAAGCAGAACTCAAAGGGAAACAGGAAGCAAGTGGCACAGATCAAGGTTTAATCAAGCAGGTTGTATCAAACAGGCTTATCAAACCCCAGGCTGATGGTGGCAATGTGCTCACTAATCTGAGCAAAAAACCTAGCAAAGCAGAACTCAAAGGGAAATCATACTTTAGGAAGCTGTGAGTTAACAATTTTTATTAATGCTTTTAAAAATTGATGCAGAAGAATTTGCCTGATAAAACAAGCACCACATCACACCACTACAAAGCTTCTGTATGCTGCAAGCTCCCTTATCCAAAACTAGGGGTTAAAGATCAAAATCAGCATTGCTTCTGGTTTCAGAAATATTACAATTCATGCTGTTCTAACAGAGATTCACTTTTTACCAAAATTAAACTGCCAATATGAGATACTGCCCTCCTGAAAACTTTCCAACTGGTACTTCAGACTGCCATAGGCAGCACCAAACACAAAGGTCCCCATGTTATCAGTACTTGCATGCCAGCATGTATTGAGAACATTCCTCCACTATAAAAACTTGGTTTTCAAGTTTTTCTCCCTCACAATAAATATCCTTGAGGTTACTGTCAATATTTTAATTGGCACTACGCAAAGGAACACTCTGTCCTCTTGCCCCAAAAAATTGTACTCAGTGGTGGATGTCTAGCTGCAGTACTCAATACAGAAAACAAAAATACCATTATTACTTTTTCTGGGTAACACTTTCAGTTTCCATTTTCCAAATGCTTTGGAAATAACAAAGTACCAAATTCACTTTTTTAAAAAGGTAGCTCAGAAGATTTAGAATAATTACAAGATTTCAAAGGAGCTAAACTGTCTTAACTACTGCAATTGTACTTCAGAGACCTCCCATAATATGAGAAACTACTTTACAAACAAGTGAATGGAAAACTAGAAACAACTTGCCCAAGACCATTAAAAAACCAGGAGGATTTGAAAATAGTGCATGGTTCAAACAATTGTTTTATCCCAATTATTCAAATTTGAAAACTTTCAATAATGGTCTCTCTTGAATTCACAGATAATTTAACATACATCCCAACTTCAGAATTAATTATCCACATCAAGGAATTGGCTTGAAAGACTGCAATCACTCTGAAGCTAGAACTGTGACTATCACATCAGTTAATACAGATATTATCCGTACTGTATATACTAATAATAGCTGCCTTAAATTAAGTGCACAATACCATAAATAAATAATAATTAAAGTGCACATTTGCTTAAGAAAAAAAGAAAACAACTGTGCCATAAAACCATTTCAAGACTTAGCTAGAAAAAAAAACTAACAGAAAAGAACAACAATTCACCCTTTTAACAACACTAATGGAATTCAAGTATTTGAGACTTTGTAGGACCAAGCCTGGGAACACCATGGAGCTCAGTGTCCTTCACAGTACTGCCTGGAACACAATGTCCACAGGGGTATCTGGTTACATTCTGATCACTTTGTTTAATTGCTGCCCTACAGCATTAAGTTAATCACTCAGCAGGACATCACAAAGAGTTGCAAACATTTTTCCCCTGAGAAAAGGCAAAACCATGACACTGAAGTGCAACTAGAAGCTAACTGAAAATCTCATCTGGAACACGGCAGCCAAGCCACTAAACAGATCATGCCCAGCACTGGTTACCCTAGGCAAGCTTCTCATGGATTTAATTCTGTACGTAGCACATGGCCATAGCCCTTTACAAAGGTAACAGTACCAGAAAATGACTGACTGGAAAAAGGGACATAATCCTTTCCAAAAAGTAGTGAGTTTTTGTGCTTTAGTGTTTTTCTGGACATAGAAGTGGTCACTATGCCGAAAGAATTACTAGATCAAAAAATCTACACATGCTGTCTCTAGGGTGCATGTTCTTTACCAGACTAGGAAAGTAATTTTCTTTTACCACTATCCTCCAAACCTATCAAGCCTTATCCAGTCAGCAGCTCAGCCAGCTCATTTGCATCCATGTGACAACCAGTCACAAAAGACAGAGGCTGTGAATCTACAGATTGATCTTAAT